TTTCCTTTAATGTTTGTATATGCTTATGGAACCCTATCGGGGTCATGTTTGGCCTTGGTTTATGACTCGTTATCGAGTCTCATGGTATTTGTTTGCATGTTTTAGGACGTGACCGTGGTGCACAACGTTCTTTTGACGGAAGTGCATGAAACCACATTTGCGAGCTTGGTGAGTGTACTACTCACTTGTGTGTTATTATATGACTTTGATACTTGAACTTGAGATGTTGAATGTTAATTGATTGAAGTGAGAGTGTACTTTATCACTCTCACTTATTGTTTCGCATGTTATTGAAAAGTTATTGGAATGTTATATGAAATGTTATATGAAATGAAATACATGACTTGGTGTCATTTGGACGAGTCTCCAACGACTACAATTGTTATCCTTGAGCTCAACCCCATTGGTAATTGATTGAATCGAGCCGGCGAGGGTTTGGTCGTGTCAATTAATGTGCCTTGGGGCAATGTTATATGGAATCTTGTAGTATGAGAGACTCTCGATTCCGGTTTACTCGAGTAATACCACAATGCAAGTGTTTGGATTTCGGGCCCGGTTGGGGAATGTTAGGTGGAAGGAATGGAAGTAAAGTGGAGTCTACAGTTGGTTATTGTTGAACATTGACGGAGAGTCAATGACGTTCGATCAAGAAATGCAAACGAGGAAAAGGGCTCTTGAGAGCCATCTGTATCCTTTTATCACCATATTTGATGTGTGCCTTTGCTTATTTTACTATATTGAATGAAAGCTTGATGCTTATATGCAATTGGTTGCTTAAGTGATAGTATCTCACTGGGCAATTAGCTCACACCGTTCCTTTTGTTTTCCTTACAGGAATATGACTTTTTTTGGAATGAATCTTGATAGATGGTTGCCGAATGAACTAGATGTATATTTTTTTGTATGGTATATGAAGTGAAACCCTAAATGTATCTTTAGGGCCGTTTTCACTTTCAATTTGGCAAACCGTGTATATGTTCACTTTTGACAACTTTTGTATGTCACTTTGGATTGTATTTGCTAAAGTTCAAGATGTGAATATTTGTTCGATATTTGGTTGCGTTCTGACGGGTCGGTTACTATTCATGGCCGACTTCGGATTTCATTTTTTTATTTTGGGTTATTTTGCCCTTTTGCCTTGTTTACGCGCGTTTATAAGTTCCGGAACGAAATAGATCGCTCTAAACTATACCGTTAGTCCTGGCGAGAGTTGGGCAGGCAGTCCGCTAACCCCTTTGGTTCGCCTTAGGGGGAAGGTGGGGCTGTCACAGCTATCTCAGAAAGAAGTACAACCGTCGAGAATACAAAAGTTCTCAAGTCACCATACAACCAGCCCGTGCCAAGCACTAGGACGAGAACCAAAATAAAACCAAAACGAGACCCAGCCAGTCGATACAGAGCTCTCGCCCCTGCTCGCCTTCTCCTGTTAAGGAAAACAAAACTAAAGGGATGAGGTAAAAGCTCAGTGAGGTTCCGAACATAGGATGAAGCCATAAATCAAACAATAAGTCAAGAAACATTTACCACATTTACAATAAGTCACACATGAAAATGATACGTTTGTTCATTCGTTCGTTCATTCATTCGTTCTCCTGTCATTCCCCTTATTCCTTCATTCGTTTGAAAATGCATTTTTCATTTATCTATAAAACCCTCGTTCGTTCGTTCGTTCATTTCATTCAACCCTTTCTGGACATTGGCCAGGCTCCACCAACCTCCACCAACCTACAAGGTAATACTCGAGTATACCAAACGTTCACCCAGGTCACCAAATCGCCCGACCGAGTCCGCTTCTGGCTCGAGTCGATCGGTAACAAGGGGCAGGGCCCAATTCATCCAAAAGGCTTACATTCATGCACAAGTAACGTTCCAATCATTCAATCTTTGAAAATTTCACATTTATTTAGGTCGGGTGCGATAAAGTACACACCCGCCTAGAAAACTCGTTTTGGAAATCATTGAAAGCACTTAACACGTTATCAAACAATAATACAAGTCATGAAGTCAAGAAAAATATAGCAAATAAGGAACACTCACCGAATTATGCAAAATAACGTCCAAAATGTCCTATCAGATCTTACCCTCGGTCACCGAGAAAACCTATGATTCGACAAGAAAGAATATTACAATTCATCTAGCAAAACAAGTAAGTGGAATCAAGGAACTCGACTAGTTACGAGTAAAACGGATAAAGGTGACTTTAAAGTGAAATAAAGCCATTTGGATCTGTGGACGGAAACAACTAGGGTGTCATAAACCAAACTCAAAGGGTTATAACAGTTCCAATGGAAAACACTTGAATCCAAGTCAAGTCGGTATCCAACTAGATAGGCTCAGAAATATTATTTTTTGGAATCGTTTATGTGGTTCAAAATCAATATACATTCAAGTAGGTATTATGGCCTACATGTCTTGACTGAGAAAACCTCAGGTCATACCTCTATATTTTGGTATGAAGTAGTAAATAAACATTTGAAGGTTCAAATGGAAAAGGTATCATATTTTAAGATGGAAAACGGTCATAGTATTTGCCAAACAAAAAATATACAAGTTCAACTAGAAACTTAGTCCTTGAGCGAAAATTTGGGCAGCACGCCTGTAGAGGCCCTGTTCTGGGCCCAACCACGTGGCAGCCCAGCCATGGCCGAGCTGGGCCTCGGCCTTCGGCCCTTTGGCGATCGCCCTGAGCCGCCATGCCACTAGGGCTTCAGAAGAGCCAGGGGGCCGTCCCGGGAAGACCGGAGGAGATCCCCCATACGGGATTGGGAGCTATACCGGGTAAGTCCTGCGTCGTGCGGAGATCGGACTCTCTCGACAGGTATAAATGGTGGCTTTCACCACTCTGACAAGGTCTGCAAAAGACACGCAGCCTACGCTCTGACTAAATTTCTTCCCGTGAACCCTACTCACCGGAAACCTAACTTGATCGTCGGAGTGCCCTCGGGGACAACCCTCGGGCCCCCCTTTGCTAGTTCATTTTCATCTGTTTTGCAGGCTTAGGATCAGCTCTTCCATCAGCAAGCTCAGCGCTTCTTCAGTTGGCGCCGTCTGTGGGAACCGTAAGGTAAGTAAGATTGTGTTGATGGCCAGGACGCGATCCAAGCGCACGGTAGAGAGCACCAGCCCTGGGGGCGGTGATGGGTCCCAGCGAAAGGAGGCTGAGGCGTCTCGGGGAGCCGGGGGCTCAGCCCTTTCAGGGGAAACGGAGGCAGCAGATCTTCCAGTTCGTGACGGAGAATCTCCCCATACTGGAGGATATAATCCGACAGGCGAAGGAGGGAGATGGGGCTGGGGGTGCGCAGACCTCCAAGGCCAAGGGGAAGGAGAAAGAGTCACCCCCTGACCCTTCGGAGGATGAGTCACGAGACCAGCCCCCCAGGAGGAAACGACCACGGACTCCACCTCGCCCGCGAGCCTCGGTGGTCGGAGACAGCGAGAGGTTTTCCCGCGACCGGTCCGCGAGGAGCCGTCCCAGGGACCCCTCCCCACGGAAGCCCACGCAGAATGGGTTCGAGCATTCTCCTGCTCGGTCTGTCAAGAGCCGACCCCGCGATCCCCTTCATTGGGAACCTGCCCGGGATGAGCTCGAGCAGATCTTGAGATCCCAGCCGTACGAGGATAACTATGCCACCTCGCCCTTTACCCGGGAGATAGAGGACTATCCGCTACCCCGCAGGTTTAAGATTCCGAGCATCGAGATGTACGATGCCTCTACAGACCCGGAAGACCACCTTTCGGTCTTCCTGACGCATATGCGCCTGCTTCGTCCGCCGCAAAACTTTCCCTATGTTCTTGAAGGGGAAAGCACGGCTCTGGTTCCAGGGACTGGCACCGGGGTCTATACGGAGTTTTCCTGAGCTGGCTCGGCAGTTTGCAGCCCAATTCGTCTCCTCGAAGGTTTATGCGAGGAACGCAACCCACCTGATGTCCATTAGACAAAGGCCCGACGAGTCGCTGAGGAACTTCATGACCCGCTTCAATGCGGAGAGCTTGCAGGTCAGGGACAAAGACGAGAAGGTGGTAATGGCCGCCTTCACAAACGGGCTCAGGGTAGAAGAGCTCTTCTACGATCTGGCCAATAAGCCTCCCGTAAACCTGGAGGAGCTCCTGCGCAGGGCGCACGAGGCCGCCAACGCAGAGGAGGCAGGTCGCCTGAAGAAAGAATCGGATCGGGAGCTCGGGGATCGAAAGGGTCGGACAAACCCCCCAGAGGGCAAGGACGTCCCGGCCAAGAAAAACGTTTTCGATCGGCTCTCGAAGGAAAAGGCCCCTGCTCCGCCGCCACTTCCAGAGAAGAGCTACACTCCCCTGACACGGCCTAGAGCCCAGAGCCTGGCTGTTATGGAGGCGGAAGGGCTGGGAGATCGGCCACCCAAGATGGGGACGCCCCGGAACAAAAGGAACCAGGACCGGTACTGCGCCTTCTATCGCGACGTCGGACACGACACAGAGGGGTGCTGGGCCCTGCGTAAGGAGATCGAGAACCTGATCCAGTGCGGCTTCCTAGGTCGGTTCGTGCGCCGACCAGGTCAGGAGCCCGGGCGCAACCACTACGGGGATAGGCGCGAGGGATAGCGTCGCGACCGCCTAGAGCGGCGTGACGCTCCTTGGAACCACTCCCCGGACCTGGACGGCCAGAACCTAGCGGGGGTGATAAACACCATCGCTGGGGGGCCCACGGGCGGAGATAGTCACACAGCTCGGAAAAACAGGCGACCTCCACCCAAGGGCGATGACTCCTTGAAATGTTTGTATATAGACGAGGAGATCACCTTCGAACCAAGAGATGCGGTCCTCCCGGCGTCTGGGAACCATGAGGTCATCGTAATAGACGTGGTCACCAACAACTATCGCATTAAGAAGATGTATGTCGACCAGGGTAGCGCGGTGGACATTATGTTCTATCGGGTGTTCAAGGAGCTCGGATTAAGGGACGACCAGCTGACCCTGGTTCGAACACCCCTGGTGGGCTTCACCGGGCACCCATTAATCCAGAGGGAATGATCACCCTGATGGTCACGGTAGGGCAGGCCCCCAAATGCCGAACCATCCCTGTCAATTTCGTGGTGGTCAAGCAGCAATCCTCATACAACGTGTTCCTGGGTCGGCCAGCTCTGAACGCCCTCCGGACTATTCCGTCTACCCTCCATCTCAGTGTGAAGTTCCCCACCCCAGGAGGGATAGCCGAGGTGCACGGTGACCCAGAGGTGGCCAGAGCTTTCTACTTGGCCACGCTCCGCTGGCCGGAGAAGGTGGTCGTCCAGACGACCTGTTTGGAGCCCTACATCCCGGGGGACGAGACCCAGCAGGTGAGTACGCAGGACGAAATTGAGGAATTCCCCTTGAGGGAGGAACGACCCGACCAGGTCCTCCGCATCGGGGCATTGCTGCCAGCCGAGGAGAAGGAAGGCTTGAAGGCCCTGTTGAGGGAGACCGCCCCGGACCTAGGGGAGACCTTGTTCCTATACCTGTCTGCCTGCAACGAGGCCGTCAGCGCGGTCTTGGTGCGGGAGGACGGGGGGGCTCAGAGGCCGGTGTATTACGTCAGCCGCGCTCTACAAGGGCCAGAGACGAGGTACACGCCGGCGGAGAAGCTGGTCCCGGCCTTGGTGCACGCTGCTCGCAAGCTCCGCCCCTACTTCCAAGCTCACAGCATTGCAGTCCTGACCGACCAGCCCTTGCGTCAGATACTCACCAAGCCCGAGGTCTCGGGCAGGATGATCAAGTGGGCCGTGGAGCTGGCCGAGCACGACATTAGCTATCAACCTCGTACAACTATCAAGGCTCAGGCCTTGGCCGACTTCCTCGCTGATGGGGCCGGCTTGACCCTGACCGAGCTAGACTCCCCGAGCAAGGATGTACGGCCAAAGAAGCCTTGGGTGCTGTTCGTAGACGGTGCCTCCAGTAAGGAAGGAAGCGGAGCAGGTCTGCTGCTCATCTCGCCAACCGGGGAAGAACTGACCTACGCCCTCCGATTGGACTTCCCCGCGTCCAACAACGAGGCCGAGTACGAGGCCCTGCTCGCAGGGTTGCGGATAGCCCACCAAATGGGGATCTCCGCGATCCAAGTTAGGAGCGACTCCCAACTCGTCGTCCTTCAAGTCCTCGGGGAGTACGAGGCCAAGGAGGAAGTCATGAAGAAATATTTGGCCAAGGTGCGAGAGGCGGTAGCCCTATTCGATACTTTTCAAATCGAGCGGGTGCCAAGGTCGCAAAACAAACGTGCAGACGCCCTATCAAAGCTGGCCTCTTCTTCATTTGCACACCTGAGTAAGGAGGTTCTGGTAGAGGTGGTAAAACAGAAAAGTATCCACCAGGTCCAGGTTCTAGCTATAGACAGCTCGGCCACCTGGATGGCACCCCTCATAGACTTCCTCAGCTCAGGAGCCCTCCCAGAGAACAAAACCGAGGCCCGCCGGATCCAGCTCAGAACTGCCAAGTACGCCTACGCTGGGAGAACCCTCTACAGGAGGTCGTACTTATCTCCCTGGCTAAAGTGCGTGACGCCCGATGAAGGTAACTATGTCCTCCGCGAAGTGCATGAAGGGATATGTGCGGCACATGTGGGGTCCCGAGTGCTGGCCAAAAAATGCCTTCTCCTAGGTTACTATTGGCCCTCCGTCTTCCGAGACGCCGCAGAGCTGGTGCAGAAATGCCGAGCTTGCCAGGTTCATGCCTCATTGCGCCACCAGCCAGCTCGGGAAATGATTCCCATCCACAGTCCCTGGCCTTTCGCCTAATGGGGGATAGACCTCCTAGATCCTTTCCCTCGAGCTCCTGGAAGGTACGAGCACCTCGTGGTGGCCATCGACTATTTCACGAAGTGGATGGAGGCAGAGCCCCTGGTCTCTATTTCGGGGAAGGCGATTCAGAAATTCTTTTGGAGGAACATCGTCTGCCGTTTCGGCATCCCACATGTCTTAATATCCGACAACGGGCGCCAGTTCGCCTAGAACCCCTTCCGGAGCTGGTGCGCCGAGCTCAAGATCAACCAGCACTTCACGTCGGTCGGTCACCCCCAGGCTAATGGTCAGGTGGAGAACGCTAACCGAACCGTTCTGCAAGGGTTGATGACCAGGTTGGAGTCAGCCCAATCGAGCTGGCTGGATGAGCTCCCCAGTGTCCTCTGGGCTTACCGCACCACGCCCAGGACGGCCACCCACGAGACCCCGTTCTCCTTGACTTACGGAGTAGAGGCGGTGGTGCCTGCGGAGATTGGGCTCCCCTCGCCCCGGACACAGAACTTCGTTGCGGGGACCAATGAAGAAGAGCTGCGGTACAGCTTGGACATACTGGAGGCTAGGCGTGAGGAAGCAGCGGTACGGATGGCTAAGTACAAAAGCCAACTCGCCCGCTATCATAACGCCCGAGTAAGAACCACACAGTACCAGCTGGGGGACCTTGTCCTGAGGAAGAACTCCGTTAGCCGGGCTCACGGCTCCAACAAGCTCGACCCAAACTGGGAGGGCCCATACAAGGTCCTTGAGGTAAGCCGAGCTGGCTATTGTAGGCTCGCCAAGATGGATGGATCTGAGGTACCCTGTACCTGGCACTTCTCCAATCTGCGACTGTTTGTAGCGTAGGTTAGACCAGGGTGCTCAGTCGTCTGCTCTCTGAAATCCGAAATTTTTGTTTTATCACTCAATAAAAGCCCGAGTTCACAGTTTTAATTTCACTTGTACTTGTTTCCTTTCAAGAGTTAAAATTTTGCACCTTGCACTAGCATACTTAGCGTTCCCTCACTAAATGTCCTAGTGGGGGGCTAGGGGTAGTGGTGGATCGAGGTGAAGTGTTCGGCCCCAGAGGTCGGTACGAATTGAAAGCTTCCAGGCGATGCTCGACCCCGGAGGGTCGGCAGGACTAGAAAGAACATGGAAATCGGGAAGGGTTCTAGAAACTCCGCGCTTGACCCAAATACAAATACATTCATTTCTATTCAGAGCATTCGTACAACCCCAAACATATCACAAGATTTAAGTTCTCAATACATTCAACCCTAATTGAGTGACTAGTGTGAGTACAATCACAAAATTTTCAAAAACTAGACTATGCTAGCCTGTACCAATCTCACGCCTCGCTCATACCCTTGTAAGGAAAACAAATGGTGTGGAATGAGCTAAAAGCCCAGTAAGGTTCCAAATAGCAAGTTGACCATTATTGAAAAGTACAAATATCACGTAGCAAAATAGCGAGCATAACAAGTTCATGAAAGTGAGTGACGGGACTTTTATATCAATACAAATTTAAATCCGATTTTTTACCCATTGACTGCAAGTATACAAGCCAAAATTGTAATGTAGGGTATGTATCAGGTCGATCCCACATACTAGTTCCTTGCTTTCTCTATTATTTAGACTTATGAATGAAGTTTAGCAGAGAAATTATATTGCTACTGACTACAAATCTGATCTACAAATCTAACTTAAAAAATGCTAAATGCAAAAAGAGAAATTTGACTCAAAAATGAATCTAGGGATGTAGATTCCACTTGTGGTATAAACAACACAAATGAACAGATTTATCTCTTGTTATTATTCTTGTTTAACAAGAGATTCATTTCCAATTTTACCAAGTCTCATTTTCATGATGAAATGGCCTAGAATAGTTCAGTTTTCCCTATTTTCAAGGTAAAATACTAGTTGTACTCTGTTTTTCTTCATGAAATGCTAAGTAATCCACTTAAGTGTATCTCTATTTTCATGAACATACAACTTTAGTTCTACTTATGTGTTTCCATTGTTATTACCAATTCTCATTGAACAGTGAGAACCCGAAAATTTTCTTATTTTTCAGGCATTTATTTTAGTCTTTTGTGCCTAAATTCCATATTTTTTTCTTATATGAATATTTCGGGAAATTTATGAGAACATATGATTTTTAAATTATTTTTCCCATATAAGTTATTTTCTGGGTTAATGGTGGTGTACAATGGATGTGGGGCCCCTAGTGCGATAAGTGCGGTAACTATGGTTAATTGGGAGAAGTTGTATACAGGGATTATATTACATGGTATTGTGAGCTAATTAGAGGTTAGCTAGTTAATTAAGTATTGCAAGACAAAGAGTTGAGATAAGCTTAAAAAGGCCATATGTTGCATTTTCATTGGATGGTGGACTTGTGACTAGTCTTCTTCACCTTTACTAAAAAATTTTGACCAAAAATCATCCTTATTTCCTCTCCCATAGCCAACCTCTTGGAGCCAAGAGAGAGAAAAGCTTCTTCAATTTTCCTTCCTTTCTTGCTTGAATCTTGCAAACCTAACGTTTAAATTCCAAATTCCTCCACAAAAGTGAGTTGATAAGCTAGTTTAAGGCCTTTGGTAGAGTCATTTGTAAAGAACAAGCTCTAGCTATCTTGTTTCTTGGAGTTGCAAAGGTAAGTTGTCAAGGAAATTCTCTTTTGTCCTTAATAATGTGGAATTGGAGGTTTATAGAGGTTGAATATGTTGGTTTGTGGATTATTTCATGACTTATGGTTGAATTGTGCAAAATTTCCTATTTATTGAGGAATTTTCTGTTTTATATAGTATCTTGTGGTTGGCTATGGATTGATAGTCTTAAATGAAGTAATTTGGAGCCTCTATGTGATTATTGTGGCTTATTGTGAAATTTCCAGATTTTAGAGGATCTTCGGTTTTAGGGTTTCCACTGACCCTGTTCTGTCCGGTTCATTTTAGCCATGATGAACGTCGAATTAGCCTTAGATTAAAACATGAAAGTTGTAGGAAATAATGTTTTATAGTTGCCTGTAAAATTTCAGCCCAATCCGAGCTTTGTAACCTGAAAAAAGACAGAAATACCGCAGACTGCCATAGGAAGAGTTCGCTGGATAGGTGGACATTTCACCCAATATGACCGTGACTTTTCACCCTGATCCTTACCGAATTAGATTTTTGCCAAAAACAATAGTTGTAGTGCTAGGTCTTAGATTTCCAACGGCCCTAGAACACCTCAATTGGACTTCGGTAGCCTGAATTATGGTCGTTTAACCATACTGCAGTTAGTTAACCTTTGTCCGATACTGGTTCGGTACATTGGAATTTTGACCTAGCTACACTATGAACTGGAGGTCTTCATCAAAGTTGTAGCTCTTTATCCTAGCTTCGAAAAGTGTAATTTGCCCAATCCGATAAGTGTGGCTCCAGGTGTGTCCGTTACGCTAAATGACGTCAAAACTATCTTTTGGTTTTAGGGCATAAACTTCATTTCCAGACTCTCCCTAGCTTGATCATGCACTTATACATTCTATTGGGCCTTATTTTTTGTAGTGTGTGGATTTGATTTGACTCGTTCCAGTCTTAATTGTGATATTCTTGTTGTATAGGTTGGCCGGTGATCCGACGCCTACGCCTGAAGCTAACTTGTGATTTGCTTATCTTTTGAGTGTACCATTATATGGTCTAATGTTTAGATGGTTATTTATACTTGTTATGTAAACTTGAATGGCTTGAATGAGACGAGAGTGTACTTTATCGCTCTCGATCTCTTATCTGTATTACTGCTATTGTCAAATGTGAAGTATACATGTGTGATTTGACATGGCCTGGGGCTTTGCCCGACAGCTTAACTGTGCTATCTGAGCTCATACCCCATTGGTCTTTAATCGAGTGGAGCCGGCAAGGGCTTGGCGAATCGATAACGGACCTTGGGTTCACTGCAGTCGAGTGGAGTGTTAACTCCTTGACCTTATGGTATACTCGAGTATTACCCTCTCTGTTACTGTGAGGTGTTCGGGCCCGGTAAGGGGTGACCGGTGGAAGGAATTTGGAGTAAGTGGGGATCTACAGGATGTTCTTCTCTTTAAAGCTTGACAGAGTGTCAACGGGTTGAGATCAAGTGCGGCAAGGAAAGTGGCTCTGAGAGCCAATTGTATCCTTTTATTGACTTGCTTGTTTATGAGCTTTGGTTCACTATGTGATAAAGGTGTTTACTAGTGTGTCTTGTTGTACCTCATGAGCGTAAGCTCACCCTCGTTACTTTGTTTTCCTTACAGGGATGATTTTGGAACCGTATTAAAGAAACGAGTTGAGCTAGTTTTGTGACAGCCCACCTTCCTTCCTAAGGCGAACCAGGGGTTAGCGACTGCCTGCCCAGCTCTCGCCAGGACTAACGGTGCGTTTAGAGCGATCTATTTCGTTCCGGAACTTATAACTCGCGTAAACAAGGCAAAAGGGCAAAATAACCCAAAATAATAAAAAAAAATGAAATTCGGAGTCGGCCATGAATAGTAACGCCCCGTCAGAACCCAACCAAATATCAAGTAACATTCACATCTTGAACTTTAGCAATTACAATCCAAAGTAACATACAAAAGTTTTTAAAAGTGAATATATACACGGTTTGCCAAATTGAAAGTGAAATCGGCCCTAAAGATACATTTAGGGTTTCACTTCATATACAATACAAAAGAAATATACATCTAGTTCATTCTGCAACCATCTATCAAGATTCATTCCAAAAGAGTCATATTCCTGTAAGGAAAACAAAAGGAACGGTGTGAGCTAATTGCCCAGTGAGATACTATCACTTACGCACCCAAGTGCATATAAGCATCAAGCTTTCATTCAATATAGTAAAAATAAGCAAAGGCACACTTCAAATATGGTGATAAAAGGATACAGATGACTCTCAAGAGCCCTTTCCTCGTTTGCATTTCTTGATCGGACGTCATTGACTCTCCGTCAATGTTCAAAAGTAACCAACCGTAGATTCCACTTCTCTCCCATTCCTTCCACCTAACATCCCCTACCGGGCCCGCACTCCAAACACTTGCACTGTGGTATTACTCGAGTATACCGGAATCGAGAGTCTCTCATACTACAAGATTCCTTATAACTTTACCCAAGGCTCATTAATTGTCACGACCAAGCCCTTGCCGGCTCGATTCAATCAACTACCAATGGGGTTGAACTCAATGATAACATTTGTAGTCGTTGGATACTCGTCCGATCGACACCAAGTCAAGTACTTTCATTTCATGTAACATTCCAATAACATGACAACAATGATATAAGGCATATAAGTGAGAGTGATAAAGTACACTTTCACTTCAATCAAGTCACATTCAATTCACTTCAAGCAATTTACATTCATAGCCATATAGTAACACACAAGTGAGTAGTACACTCACCAGGGTCAGTGCAGATACCTCCCAAAAGAGAGCTTTAATCACCAATAAACCCTAAAATAATCCAAGGAAAACAATTGAAGGTTCCACTTTCAAAATTGAGTATACAGAATGCACATGTGAGGCTCGACTACCAGTCGTATGCCTCGCCAAATAATTACTAAAGCAAGGTGCAAAACATGATTTTTGGTAACGAAAAGGTAACATGAAGACCTAGGCTCAAACAACCCAAAAGCCCTTCGTTCAAATCACAAGTAAATCCAACTAGCTTTCAAGAAAAATTTCGGCAGCATATCCCTTGTTTTTACCTATTTTCCAGCCATCATGGCTTCATTATGTCCTCAAATCAGTCCCAACATCTCATACAAAAATAATCTCATTCCCAAAAGCCGTTCACTAGGCTTAATGGCATTCAAGTACAAAATTTAGCTAGGAAACAACCGGATATGAAAGTCAAGCCCTAAACTATTCAAATGAACACAGTAAGACTC